ACTTCGAGGGCCAGTATTTCACAGGGTTAGCTACATTGACTCCTTGCGATCTTGCTACAGTACGAATAGTGCAAAAACGCGTAATCGCATCGGCCCGCCTGGTGCGTTCCAGCCTGGGTGCATTTTTTGCAGCTATGCAATGCAGAAAACGCATACTGACGAGAGGTTGTCTGTGTGTTCTTCTGTACCGATTTTTCATCTCGAGACCGGCAAAAGCTACAGGGTTGAAACTTTGGGGGCATAATCTACATGCACGTATGGGCCCCATCCCCGAAATGGGCGGTCTTACCCGCGTGGTACCCACGTAAGAGCTCGCCAAAAGTTTTTTTCGGGTAATTTCATAACTCGGGGATCTGAGGAGCTAGAAAGCTGAAATCTTAGGGTGATGTTCCCCGTCCAAGTGGGTATTAGTAAGCTCAAATCCAGCCCCCGAGTAAGTGTGGCATCCGCGTACGGGCCCGCCAAAATTTCTCCCAGGTAAGTTCATAACTCGGGGATCTGAGATGCTAGAAAGCTGAGATCTTAGGGTGATTCTCTCCGTCTAAAAGAGTATTAGTGAGCTCAAACCCAGCCCCCGAATAAGGGAGGTACTCGCATACGGGATCGCCAAAATTTTTTCGGGTAAGTTGATAACTCGAGCACCTGAGAAGCTGAAGGACCGTAATTTTAAGAGGATATATCCCGTCCACCTAAGTTTCATTCATCTCAAACCCTTCTCTCGGGTATGCGTGGCAAACGCGCACGGGGCCGTAAAAATTTTTTTTTCAGTAAGTTGCTAACTCAGGAGCCAGGGAAGCTAGAAAGCTGAAATTTTAAGGGGATGTCTCCTGACAGTTCTGGCGGCCAGTCTTAATTTGTTTAGCTAGAAGCATTTACCGAAAAACCCGGTGCCGGTAGCAACAAAAACTGCGGGGAACTATGCAAAAAACGCATCTTCGAGCGGGCAGCCTGTGGGTTGGCCAATTATTGGATCTAAAACGACAAATCTGAACTGATAGGTAGTAAAAATGATGTCTGAATGGTGTTTTAGTACTGTGCTTTGTGTGTAGTTATGCATGATGTTATAAAACGAGCCTCATTTTGGGCAGAAGTCACGGATAAGAGTTAAACAAAGTATGGAAATCTTCTGGGATCCTCGAATTTAATGTTGACAACTTTTTTTTTGTTTAGTTCAATTATCTAAGTAGATCCAAACAAGTTAAGGCTAAAGTGCTTTTTTTTGTTCTGCACGAAATTGTATTATTAATCTGAAAAAAAGATCAACAAAACTTAAGTTTTCTTTGGATGCTTTTTGTTTGGAAAGCGGGCGAGCAATAACGTGCAGTGACAGTTATTTGAATGGCAACTGACTTAATTATAAAAATATTCGATACACCGAATCTCATAAAATAAGCTTCTTTGACTGCACTTACTTCTCAACCTCCTTGTGAGGACAAACGCGGCAAATAAGGGCTTTCACAAGCGAAAATTCATACTTTTAAAGAAAAAGTATTTTAAACAATTTGAGGACTTCTTCGTGGTGTAAAAAGCCGCAGCATCTTATTAACGAAAAACATATTTTCCAGCCTTTAATAAATCATGGGAAGTTCTACTAAATCCAAAGCGTGCCACC